GCCAGACAGATAGGAGGCCCTTGACTCCTGGCCTGGTTTCAGTGGGTGTGCATGATGTAGCAAAGAGGGTGCATTCCCTGTTCTAAAGTACCTACCATTTTGATTGTGCAACAGGTGTGCAAAATACCGTATCTTCTTGCATATGACTCTTGCCCTTTCCCACAAATCACCTGCTGGAAATTGAAGTGTGCGCTGTTTGTGAGAAACACGGTAAGGGCAGTTTCTGCTAGACCAGCCAAAAGCAAACGGAAAATCTGCATGAGACTTGCAGGAAGCAGAACAGTGGGAAGACTTAGCTCCCTGGCTACTGTTGCTTGGTTGCTTGCTGCAAGGACAGATTTTTGTTCTTCTTTCTGCCTTTCAAAAAGCAAGGTGGGTTACCTTATTCCAGGGCGTGTAGTATGTGAGAAAACACGGTGAATGGCAGTGACTGGGCCTGCTTTTACCTAGTCCTCTGTGCCCACAAAAAAGCTCCTTGCCTGCCTAACCACCCCATGGCAGTTGGCCACTACTGAGTTTACAGGGCAATATATGGCTTTGAGTGCATTGTACTAGGCAGTGAGAAACATTAAGGCTTAGTATGACTTGGCACAAACCTGCATGTCATCTGATTAGTGATCATCGCAGTAGAAGGGAAACTGAAGCCGCTCACATGTTTTGAGTGATCGTTCCAAGCTTTTCGTTTCTAACCCATGGCATTTCATGATGGCTGGAAGGCGCTTTTTACAGAATTAGGCCTAGAAAGCTTCGGGTAGAAAGTTAGAAACAGGACTGTATCATGGATGATCTATCACATCTTTCTGCCTAGGAAGGTGTGCCTGTGGTAGGGACTTTCCCTAAATGAACCCCTGACCTACCACCATTGTTGGGGAGGTTTTGAAGTGGTGATTTGGAGGGTTCCTTTAGTTAATAATTGCCTGTGAACACAGGACAAGACTCAGTAGCCTAGGAGGCTCTTCCAGCCCTGTATTCTTACAGGTCGGTGGTGTAGTCCCTGCCCCAAAGCATTTTATTGTTCACTCTTGCAAAGCAGTTTTAAAGGAAGGAGCCTTTGCTGGCTTCAGGTCCTGGACTAGAACTGGAATGACCCGGGTATTCTGTTCTCGGCTCTCGCACCCTTCGGCTAATGGTTTTCGTCTCTTTGTGCCTGTGTTTGTCCCTGGTAAGATATCTCCTGCTGTCCGATTGTTGCAAGGACCAATTCACGAATGCTTGTGAGGCGCTTGGATACCACAGGCATATTGGATTAAGGATTCTCCCATGGGCGAGAGGAACAGAAGCTTTAAAATTTGGATCAGAAATTTGAACCTGGCAGTAGTTTGGGCTTGACTTCCTATGAACACGCCAATATTGTATAACACCTGTCCATCTCATACTCCTGGGGGCCCTGGATCAAGGCTTTCAGTTGAGGCACTCTTTTGAGCACCAAGTATGGGTTCCCTATATATCCTTCCTTGAGGAAGAGAGGTTACTTTCCCTCTGTTTTTCCAGCGGTCTTTCTCTGCCGTTGGTGACATGCCTACAGGACAGCACCCTGAAGCCACAGAACCATAGGTATCCTTTTGGGTCCCTCAGTCTAATGGGAGGGGTACAAGAGCGCAACTTTCGGGAACCTCCATCCAAAGGGAAGAGCTTTCCCTATGCAGAGGTACAGGCCATCGTGGGAGTTTGATATTGATGCTCTTCTCTATTTTGTGGACTGTGCTGACATCTGCTGGATGCTGATGAATCTGAAGACCTTGTAAACTGAGCCATGGGACTCCCTGAAAGTGATGATCTCTTAGCCTGCAGGGCCTTGAAACGTGATGGAGAAGGGCTCTGAACCAGGAAGCAAAGCTTATAAGAAACTCTCCTGTAGAACAGGAACATGGCTACCCCTAGCAGAGTCCAACTTTCGGGCTTGCTGCCATTTTCTAGTGCTCCATTTAAGCAACATTGGCATCCATGCATCTTTCATCGAAACAAGAAGACTGCAGCCGGAAACCCTGTCCTAAAGATATTTGTGGGCCCTGCTCTGTTCATCTGTGTGTGCATGGGGGTAACTGTTCCCCCCTCACTCCTGTGTGTAGGAATGGTAAAAACATTCCCGTCTATTCCCGCTGCCCCTTGTAGCTTCAGCCGTGCTGCTTAATGGTAGCCCCACGGGGAGATGTCATGGGAGACCATGTCAGGATTAAAATGCTGAATGGGGCTGTAGCCAGAAAAAGAGTTGGAATGTCTCCGATTCCCATCACATCATCGGTTGTGTCATATCCACCGTCTGTGACCACAAAGAAACTGAACTAAAGCATCTCGCCTTGTTTACAAAGAATTTGAGCCAAAGCTCATGGAAGTCGGAGGTAAAATTTTAATCAAATTTGGAGGCTTTGGATCAGAAATATTTCAATTTGGGAAAAGCTAGTGGGCTGGGGTAAAACAAGCTTAACGCAAGAAGCGGAGTACTGCTGCTGTCTGACGGTATGAGGGTGCTATTTTAAAAGGGGAAAGCAAATTAAGGATGATACCAATAAGGCATAGACAGTAACAGTCACTGGAGAGTTTATGGCTTAGCTCATCTAAGTAATGGCATTAACTAATGGTTAGAAGAGTAATGGTGTTGACCCCGCTGGCCTGGCCAAGTTCCAATTCAGGAAAGTAAAGTCGGCTTTCCAAAATTTGCTATTTCAAATGGACACGCTTCCATTATGATCAGAGGTCTAGGAAATATGACCTCTGAGGGCACACTGAAAGAGCTGGGTTTTGTTTAGTCTAGAGAAGAGGAGATTAAGAGGAAATGTGATAATAGTCTTCAAATATGTAAAAGGTTACTGTAAAAGAGGAGGTTAAACTATTCTCCATGTCCACTGGGTGAGAAGTAATGGGCTTAAATTGCAGCACAGGAGATTTAGATTAGACATTAGGAAAAACTTTCCAGCCATATGTAAGCACTGGAACAGATTACTGAGGGTGGTTGTCATTGGAGGGGTTTAAGAAGAGGTTAAACTAACTGCTGTCTGGGTAGAGTTGATCCTGCCTTGGGGCCCAGGGATGAGCTAGATGACCTCTCGGGACCCCTTCCCTCTTTATTTGCTGCTTATCTAAGCTGCTGTTTCATGCTACAGAGCTGCAGGAGGGGGAGATGTTTGGGGGCAAATCACACCAGTTGAAAAGAGGAGTACAGACTGGGCAGGATGCCTTGAACTCAGTACGTGTGTCCTAAAGGAGAAATTGCAAGCACTTGGTTATCTTCACATGATGTACAGTTTGGATTGTGAAGCTCCTTCCCATGAGATCTGGTTACAGCCAAGAGCTCTCCAGCATTAAGCAAGGACTGGGTGTTTTTGGCAAAAAACAGTTAGCATATTCCTTTAAAAAAAAAATACTCTTGAATTTTGGTGTATTAACCAGCCTCTGGATCCTGAGGCTGGCAAGGGACTTTCCCTAGGGGGAAGCGAGATCAAAGCTTCCTACTGCTTCCTGTGCAGTTTGCTGGTAGTGGCCCCAGTGAGCAGCAGCATATTGGACTGGGGAAAGGCTGGTCTGATCTGCTCTGGCAGGTCCTGTTTGTAAATGAGGATTTAAGTTGGTGGATCTGTATTTACAGCGTCTCTCAGTGATGTGCCTGAGAAACATGCAAGTTACTGCAGGCCTGTGCCTTCACCTTCGCTAAAGACGGATGCTGAGTTTGGATGCAAACTCCTCTCCCCCTTTTCTTCTGTTACAAGGGGCAAGGAAGGATGATCAGATGATGATGGCAGCTGCTGGGAAGCAAAGCCCTGGGGTTTTCCCTCCCAACTCTGTAACCTTAGGAAAGCCTCTTCACTGCCCTGCTCCCTTCCCAATCTTAGGCTTAGTTTCTGTTAGTCTCCTACTCTCCCTCTTGCCTCTGAGCAGACTGCATCTCTTGGGAGCCTTTCCCTGGGTCGGCGGGCTCTCTAGCGAGACCAGACCGGCAAGTAGGAGCTCCTGGTGCCCCGTCTGAAGGCTCCTAGTGGGATTTTCCCCTTTGTTCTCACCGCGGCAGAGCCCGGGGGTCCAGGCGGGAGTGGATTTTCCTAGTGCTGAGGAGAGGGGCTGCCTGCCCGATACCATCGGCCCTTCCCCTAGCTCAGAGGCTGTCCCCTTCCAGGCATTGCGTACCCCCTTCCAGATGTTGGGTGTCCCTTTCCAGGCCTTGCGTACCTCTTCTAGGTGTCGGGTGTCCCCTTCCAGAGGTACCAGCTGCCTCTATCACTGGACACTTTGTATTTTAACCCCTTAAATACCAATGATTATTATCATGAACATGAAATCGGCCACTACACAGTGTGTCCCCCGCCCCCCCAAAGAGGTCGTGTGTACCCCAGGGATGCCTACCACAGTTCGGGAGCCCCTGCCCTAGTTCTCAGCCCCCCACCCCATAGCTCC